CAGGGAGGCAGTGAAGGACAGGAAGGCCTGGCGCAATATGGTTCATGGGGTCACGAAGAGTCGGACACGACTTAACGACTAAACAACAACAAAAAATCTGAATTTTAATGTTTATTACAGTATTTTAATCCTGTTACTGAATTCAGGAATGTGAGGAACTCAGAATTAGTAACAACTGGAGCAGTATATAAGTCAACTAAATAGATAAACACCTGGCTCTTGCAAGGTGTTTGGAGGAAAGGTGTACAGAAAATGTTCTTCTTAGTTGTTCTTCTTTTACATGACAGTTTCTTTCTTTCTTTTTCTTATTTAGACAGATGGGTTAGATTCATATCCTGCCTTTCCTCCAAGAGTTCAAGGTGGTGTACACAGCATTTTCTCCTCCAATTCTTCTCCACAAAACAACCGTGTGAGGTATGTAGGGTAGAGGGAGAAAGAGAGAAAGAGACTGCCCTGAAGTCACCCTGTGAGCTTCTATGGCTGAAGGAGCAATTGAACCTGTGTTTTCCCATTCTAATCTTACAACTTAACCACAACACTACAATATCTCTCACTTTTTATCTTTTAATTTTTGCTCCAGCTTATGGAACAACATCTGGAAGGGCTGTGCCAAGCCTCTTACCTCACCAACAATTCATTACATCTTATCCACTCACAACCACTTGGATCTCAATGGTCAATAACATAAAGTAAACAATTGAGTGCCATATGCCATGAAACCTCAAGGTGGTGAAATTGCTTGGGAGCATTTTCTCTCCCTGCCCTCTTAAATAGTCTTCATATATTTGAGGGAGGGCAAGGAGAAAGATACAAAAGTAACATTACCAAACACAGCTTAGCAGTTTTTTATTTTATTTTTAGGCAATAACTCAGCAAAAAATAGCATATGGAAATAATTTGTGGTTTATTTTTTTCTTGAAAGACTGTTATTCTTGAACTCAGATTTAGGATTTTATTAATTTAAAACAAAGAGAAGCCTGTGACTTGCAAAGACTACAAAGGAAAAGGCATCAGTAAACTGTGATTTCAGGAAAGTACATTTTTCATCCCTGAAAAGAAAGCAGCAGCCCCACAGGAAAGTATTTTATAATTGCATCACCATCTTTGGTGAGATGGGCGCACATAAATTTAATAAATAAATAAATTAATTAATTAATTAATTAATTAATTAAAAAAAAAACTTTGCTCTGATTCAGGGCCAAAGTATTTTCAGGCAGAAAAGGTGTATTTATATCACCTAATTATACACTGTAATAGGGAACCACTATTTATCATATGGGGTGATTTCATAAGGGACCATTAGAAATTTAAGCTTGTTAGAGAAATTAGAAATTAGAATATTCTTGACAGTGAAGAAGAAAGAGGAACAGAAAAGACATGTTCACTTTAGCAAGCATAAGGAAGACCCAGATATGGCTAGACAAACTGAAAATGGTATGTCTTCTTCCCACTCCTTTGGTTTACATTCTGGAAAGCTGCTCTATAGTCCAATTAACATGTGGTAATTCAGTAGGACCAATCCAACTTATCTACTTAGAAAGAAGTTATCAATATTTGTTAAGTTATCAATATTTGGAAAGAAGAAAGGATTAAGACTCATGATGATTTTCCTCATATCAAATTTCTTCAATACTCTTGTCAATGATCTTATCAGTGCCACAAAACCATTTTTCCACTGCTATTATTTAAGTAAAAATGGACCCCAGTTATTGATATCATGTAGCAGTAGAAAATACACATTTTAAAATGTCTGGTATGTTTGCTGCAACATCAAGAATCTATGAGATTTTAAAAACCAATAAACTTAAATAGGGCATATGTTTTAATGGGTTATACTCTGTTTTGTTAAAAGCAACAGTGATTTCCATCTATGAAAGCATATACCATGATACATTTTTTAGTTCTTTAGATACAAAAGGACACTTACAGTGGGGCAAAAAAGTATTTAGTCAGCCACCAATTGTGCAAGTTCTCCCACTTAAAAAGATGAGAGAGGCCTGTAATTTCCATCATAGGTATACCTCAACTATGAGAGACAAAATACTTATTTTCCACCATGATTTGCAAATAAATACTTATTTTCCACCATGATTTGCAAATAAATACTTATTTTCCACCATGATTTGCAAATAAATACTTATTTTCCACCATGATTTGCAAATAAATACTTATTTTCCACCATGATTTGCAAATAAATACTTATTTTCCACCATGATTTGCAAATAAATACTTATTTTCCACCATGATTTGCAAATAAATACTTATTTTCCACCATGATTTGCAAATAAATACTTATTTTCCACCATGATTTGCAAATAAATACTTATTTTCCACCATGATTTGCAAATAAATACTTATTTTCCACCATGATTTGCAAATAAATACTTATTTTCCACCATGATTTGCAAATAAATACTTATTTTCCACCATGATTTGCAAATAAATACTTATTTTCCACCATGATTTGCAAATAAATACTTATTTTCCACCATGATTTGCAAATAAATACTTATTTTCCACCATGATTTGCAAATAAATTCTTTAAAAATCAGAACTTGCACAATTGGTGGCTGACTAAATACTTTTTTGCCCCACTGTAAATACTGGAAGAAGTATATTTACTAAAAAGATTTTTTCCCTTCAAATAACAGTTTTTCAAAACAAAATAAATATTTAGAATACAGACAAGGTATGGACGTATTAGAAGAAAGACATAACATAGGCTAAAAGGAATGCTTCACGAAATGAGTAAGGAGAGGAGACATGAGAAGGCAGATTTACCTGTATTATTAATGTCTTAGGAATCTGTCTAAATATTAACATAGATACAATTTTCTAAGAATGGGCTGTGCCAAACCATCTTTTCAGTTAACAGAATAGCTTGCTGAGAAAGAGAATGCACCTTTTAGCCAATCTCTAAAATTCAAATACTAATCCTGAAATATTCTAATCTATTGTTCATCAAAAGGCTTTCTGTGACATTAGGAGCTGCTACCTAATTGGAAACGCTGATTCTTCAAGGTACATTTGTTCTATTACGATGATGTTTATACATAATTTTTCTTGGTCTGTAAATACACACACACATATACTGACCCACCACTATATTTATTTCTCCTGATTCTTTTAACCATGCAAATGTATTACATCACTTTTATCTTAGTACATGACAGCAATGTATATATGTGTGTGTACATATGTACAAAGGTTACATAAGACACGACTATTTAAATCAAGACCTATGAAATAATTTGAAAGAAAAAATTGGCATTTTTTTTTAAATTAGTATCTTATTGAAATAAAAAGCCAAAGCAATGGATTTCTCAGGAGTTGCTAAAGACTGCAGCAAATCTTTAACAATATGCTAAACTCTGCTATTGTTCAATTAAATTATAATTTGGCACATAAAAGCAAAATGCTTTCACCTGCCCTCTAAAAATCCCCATTAATTAGATTTATCCTGACCCATATGTGAGAAAGTCACTTCAAATTTTTTCAAATGGAGATGATATAATCAGGATATTGTTACAAAAGTTATCTAGAATATCTTCATATACCTGTCTTTTTAGCTTGCTATTTGAATACTACTAGTGCATAAAACAATAGTTGATTCAGTACAGTAGTCCAAGTAACAAACACATCAAGTCTCTAACTCAGAAACAGAGCTCCCCACTTGGATTTACTGATGTGTCCTAGACACAAGACTCATGTGACCCACTCCTGAACAAAGTATCTCTTTGGTGTCTAACTGTTATAGCTAATTATATTTTTAAAAAACTGAATGTTTTGTTTTAGAGAAGGACAAAACAGACACAAACTAAGGTACTTACAGTATCAAGTATCTCTCTGCTATGAGATGCAGACAAACAAATTCTCGCTCTGGATTCGATGATTGGGGTAGCAGGAAAGCCCACAACAACAACACCTACATGCCGTTTCAACATCTCTCGTCCAAATGCACTGCAAAGGGACCAAGGCAGGACTAATGAAACCACAACAACACAAGATTGGTGCTGTTTAGCACGAGGGGAGGGGGGGTTGGCAAAGAGTGCCTGAGAGGTTACTGTTGACTGCTTTGATTTAGAAAGAGAATATCTATACACAAAAACTTATTTTGTTCAGTCTTAAGGTGGTACTTTCCAAAAATATTTACTGTATTAAGTTCTCAGAGTTGAAAAATTCTATGTGGCAGGGGCTGTCTTCCAGCTGGCTGCTTCTAAATGGATTTGTAACTTAAACTTGAAAGTCTCTGCTGTAACACAGCAACTTCAGCTTGAGAGTTCACTTACTAAGAATTCTACTACACTCCTCCCTTGCTGATGACTATCTAAGTAGAAGAGTCAGTCTTTGTGCTCTGTAATTCTACAATGTTGCAAGAAAGAAAACTAAAAGTGGTACTGAGTCACTCTCTCTCAGCCCATGATGTCAGGCTCAGGTGACAAGTTGGTCAGTCAATTCTTGTTGCAAGCAACAGATCAACATTTGGTTGATCTGAAAAAAAGCAGACCCTACACATGCAGGAAAAATGCTAGGAAGAAAACAAATTGAACTTAAATACAGCCTACTAAAAATAAAAGACTTGTCTCCAACATTAGGAAATTTGATTTTTTGCCACAGCTCCTTCTCTTTAAAATTGATTACTTTGCAGGGTGTAAACTATGAACAATTTCCAAATGTTACCCAATTTTTGCTGGCATATACAGCATCAGAGGTACAACAGGAGAATCTTCATTTCCATAGATTATAAATCCCATTTTCTTAAGTTGTCTTCGGAAGTATCTGGTGTTCTCTGCCAACTGTTGTATACGGAACTTGCCTGAAAAAATAATGAATCCAGTTTTATCACATTTTTGCAAAACCATGCTGTGATATTAACATGAATTTGAATAATTTGAGAAAAGTAGAATCTAAGTATAAAAAATTGAATAGCTAGATATTGCTATTTCTGCCTTAGTGTCACTTTCAATGTGTTCTTGAATCAGGAAGCTAATTAGATATGCATACATTCTTTCCTTTTTTCAGTAATTTTTTTCCCTACAAATCTTAAATTAAATATTAGCTAATAGCCTATCTTACGAAGAGTCAAATATACAAGACAGAAAAAAATCCCATCAAAATGTGAAAGATTACTATTAAGAGTGTCTTAACTTTTCTTTGGTTATCAACAAAACAGCAGGATAAAAAAAATATGTTGAGATGAGATTGAATATTTGGATCCCATATAGCAAGACAGAAGTTGCACTTAAGGTTTAAGATAGACCAGAACTTTTGAGAAGTTATCAAGATACCACTAAAACGGAAATGCCAAAATATAATTTCAGATTACAGCCAAATGTCAATGTGGTATAATGATTCAGGTGTTGGACTAGAATCCAAGGATATTCAGGTTCAAGTTCATCCTCACTGGAGGCTCACTGGGTGACTATAGGCCAGTATCAGTCTCTTATTGAAACCAATCCCACAGGGTTGTTCTGAGAAAAATGGGAAGATGGAATGCTACGTAATCCATCTTGGGTATTTAAAGGAAAGTGGGATATAAATCTAACAAGTAAATAAATAAAATTATATTCACAAGGAATGTTGGTATTTACTTCTGGGGTGTGGTCAGCCTTCGAGTCAGTGTTGACACCTGGCAACTACCTGGACTAGTCCCTGCAGTTTTCCTGACAAGGTTTTTGGAAGTGGCTTGCCACTGCCTTCTTCTTACAACTGGGAGAGGGTGGCTGTCCCAAGGTCACCCAGCTGGCTTTGGGCCTAAGGCAGGACTAGAACTCATGGTTTCCTGGTTTCTAGCCTGGTGCCTTAACAACTACACCACACTAGCTCTCATTTACATCATGATACCATTTAATTTCATTCTAAATAGAAAACTTCAGACTGCTCCACTAGTTTGTTCACCAAAACCCAAATATATAACCTCCCTTTTGGAAAGAAGATATTTAAATGCTAGCTTAGAATTCAAAGGATAACTAGCCACTCTCAGATTCATATCTGCACAGTACAAAATAGCTGAAGCAAAATCCTCCAATATCAATATTATGAAGAACTAACAGTAATCCAGTTTTGTTTATGTGAGAAAATCAAATTAGAAACTGAAGATGGAGAATATATTTTGATTTTTAGAGACTTTTAACCATAAGATACCAAGCAAGGATATAGGCCTAATATATTACAGATTTCCCTGCCTATGTAAAAAGAGGATGCAAAATAATTTTGACATTCTGGAGCACGTAAAAAACAAGTCAGACTGATTTACGGTTCCACTGTTATATGCAAATTTGCTGTCTGTTGGTTTCTTCAAGTGCGTGCAGATGGAAAGTGCGATATGGAAAACCTATCACTCATAATCTTTGAGACTAATCTTGTAGCCATTCACCCAAATTTCCAGGCAAATTTGTTCAGTTATGGAATCACTAATATGTAGATTATTTAGGGTGCATTTCCTCACATGTGTAGAAGGTGATACTGAGTTGAGAGCTGATTCCCCCAGAGATTTCCCAAGTGGGATCCCTTTTAGTTCCTACTGAATTTCTTCTCATTAACCTGCTGCCAAACCTTCTACCAGCAGGAGGAACTCTAAGGTGCAGGTTAATTTATTTATTTTACTGGGGCTTATATAACATTGCTCCAGTCCAGTGGGACCTGGGGAGATTTTTCTCCCTCCTCTGCATCCAGTAAGAAAGAAAAAGAATATCCCACCTCTAATTGTGAACTTTTTACAGCTTTTACATATATCATTAAGAAATAGCCTACAAACACACAAATACTACAACACACAGTGTAACAGGAATTTTAAAATGACCCAAAGATATTGAGTTAACAGTCTTTTTAAAGATGGAGTATATTTCTTCTCTCACTTTCTTCCAGGTTTCCTCCTCTTCTCTAGTCTGCTTCTCCTCTTGGCTCTCCCACCAACAAATCACCTCCCAGCTGAATCCTCCTCTGAATAGAGAAGAGTTCGGCTCCACATTAGGGAAAAGTGTCAGCTGATGCTCCTAGATTCTCTGTGCCAAGCCTCACATCTTCTAACTACTGCGTGCAATTAGTCTTTCTGCCAATAAAAAAAAAAAGGGGGGGGGGGAA